ATCCAATTAATTATTTTAATTAATTAATTAATTAATAAAAATTTTCAGTGAGAGAATTGAGCTGCCTTGGCGGAGGTCTGCGCTCTCCAAGTTCTCTAGTTATTATTGTTGTTATTATGATTGTTACTGTTGTTATTATACTGTGATTATTATTATTATCATTATAATAATTATTATTATTGTTATTATGATTGTTACTGTTGTTATTATACTGTGATTATTATTATTATCATTATAATTATTATTATTCTTGTTATTATGATTGTTACTGCTGTTACTATACTGTGATTATTATTATTATCATTATAATTATTATTATTCTTGTTATTATGATTGTTACTGTTGTTATTATACTGTGATTATTATTATTATCATTATAATTATTATTATTCTTGTTATTATGATTGTTACTGCTGTTACTATACTGTGATTATTATTATTATTATTATCATTACTATCGTTGTTATTATTATTATTAACTATATATGTATGTTTATGCAAAATACGTCATCATCACGTCTCCAGCGAGATACACGTGTCTCGAGTGATGACTCGAGCATGCACGCACGCACGCACGCACGCACGCACGCACGCACACACACACACACACACACACACACACAGCACGCATGCACGCACGCACGCACGCACGCACGCACACACACACACACAGACGCACGCAGGCACGCGCACACACACACACACACACACACTAGCGAGACACACGTGTCTCGAGTGATGACTCACCAGCTATGAGCAGCACGGGCTGCTTATCTGGGTAGAGCTCCAGCTGCCTCGCGATCCACTGACCATCAAAGTGCGCGTACCACCAACCCTTCTTCTCCGCCTGTCAGAGAGAGAGAAGCAGAGGTCATTGCCAATGTCATGGAGGTCATGGAAAGGTCATGCGCTCACTGGGTGGGGGGCACGTGTACGCACGCGCGCACACACACGTATGTACGCATTCTATCTCTCATGCAAGCATAAGGTATCCCTCTCCTTGCAGACAGACCTACCAGCCCCCCTCATTTACACACCCATCTCTATTCCTCTTCCTCCTACTCTTTCCTTCCACTCATCTTCCCCCTTTCTCCCACCCACCCCTCTCTCCCTCCAACACATCCTCCCCTCTCTCCCACACCCCTCCTCCCCCACCACCCTTTCCTCCCCCTCTCTCCTCCTCCCCCACCAGCCCCTCCCCCTCACCTGTGGTTCGCGGTTCATGTCTGCGGGAGCGAGGAAGGGCAGACGGAAGAAGCGGTGGTTCACGTTTGGACGAATCATATCAATGTTGCGGTTCAACCGCTGCAGTTTCGGCTTCTTCTTCTGCTGCTGCTGGGCTGCAAAACACAAGAGCATCCGTCCCCTCGTACACGGGCAAACAAGAGAGCATCCGTCTGCTCGTGCATGCGCAAACACGAAAGCATTTGTCCAATTGTGCATGCGCAAACAGGAGAGCATCTATTCGCTTGTTTGCCTATAAACACAAGAGCATCCATTTGTCTGCCCTACATACAGAAACACAACAGCATCCGTTCGCTCAGACGCCAATAAACACAAGAGCATCCCTGCGCTCGCACACCGACAAACACGAGAGCATCCAACCATCTGCTCGTACATGCAAAAACACAAGAGCATCTGTTTGCTCATACGCTCATAAACACAAGAGCATCTGTTTGCTCATATGCTCATAAACACGGGAGCTCGTCCTTTTGTACACATGCAAACACGAGATCCGCAGTCACTACTTTGTAATTAAAACCGAATTCAGCGAACAATAATGTAACATAGATTCTACACCCATGATTTCTAAACAAATAAATTAAAATAATAAAATATTTGGGGAAAAAATTTACATGCATTAAATTAAATTAAACAAAAAATTACTACGATTAAACCATGAAATTAAATTATCGAACGACAACGCGAGCCATTAGCCACAACTCCCGTCTCTCGTCGCCTACTCCAGTGCTGCCACCTACAGTTTTCTATCACAGCCTGTGGCGCCCTTTGGTTTTCCGTCGCTGCAGCTTTCTTGTTCTTCGACTTCCACTCGTGATAGACCCTCAGGCGCCGATGAAACTCCTCCCTGCATGCGTCAAGCAGTGCCAGGTCTGTGTAAACAACAACAACAACATCATCATTAGTGACATGTTTGTGTAAACAATCACAACATTAGTGCCAGGTCTGTGTAAACAACAACAACAACAACAACAACGACAACATGAGTAATGCCAGGTCTGAGTCTTAGTGAACACCATCAATAACAACAATCCCTCTCTCATGCTTTCTTCCTCCGTCTCTTTCCTCCCCTCCTCTTCTCCCTCCCTTCCCTTCCCTCCTCCTCCTTCCTCCCCCTCTCTCTCCTCCTCCTCCATCCCCTCTCTCTCCCACCCTTCTTCCCTCCTTCCTCCACTCACTGCGCGATGTGTTTATGGTATATCGTAGCTCCGCGTACTTCCACTTGCTCAGTTCGTGGGTCTTGCCTCCTGCTGCGTTAATCACGGTGCGAGCGCGCTCCGATCGCTGCAGCTGCGTAGTCTCCAATGCCTCGACGACACCTGGAATGTGTGTACGTAAAGCGATGACACGAGCAAACGCGTGTACGTAAAGCCATGACACACTCAACCGCGTGCACGTATAGCGATGACACGCGCTCCGACCGCTGCAGCTGCGGTGTCTCCAATGCCTCGACGACGCCTGCAGGGGGGATGTGTGTACGTAAAGCGATAACACGAGCAAACGCGTGCACGTAAAGCGATGACACACGCAAGTAAACGTGTACACGTAAAGCGATGACACACGCAAGTAAACGCGTGCACGTAAAGCAATGACACGCGCAAGTAAACGCGTGCACGTAAAGCGATGACACGCGCAAGTAAATGTGTGCACGTAAAGTGATGACACGCGCAAACGTGTGCACGTAAGGTGATGACACGCGCAAACGTGTGCACGTAAAGCGATGACACACGAAAGTAAACGTGTGCACGTAAAGCGATGACACACGCAAGTAAACGCCTGCACGTAAAGCGATGACACGCGCAAGTAAACGCGTGCACGTAAAGTGATGGCACGCGCAAACGTGTGCACGTAAAGCGATGACACACGAAAGTAAACGTGTGCACGTAAAGCGATGACACACGAAAGTAAACTTGCACGCGTAAAGCGATGACACACGCAAGTAAACATGTGCACGTAAAGTGATGACACATGTAAAGCAATGAGATAGGCGGAAAACGTGCCCATAAACTGATGACATGCGCCATTTGCGTCGGAAATGCGTACAAGTAAAGTAATGACACGCACCGTTCTTGCGTTTGCGTAGCACAAAGTAAACTACGCATAAAGTGTTGACACAGAGCAAAATACGACACGCAAAGCGATGACACGAGAAATCTACTGCAAAACGCGTCGCACTTCATCGACATGCACTGACGTGCACGTAAAGCGATGACACGTGTTATCTACGGGGTACGCCGTGCACGCAAAGTAATGATGTCACTCACCTCCGGACTCCTGTGCGAGTCTCATGGCGAGTTCGTGGTCGCGCCGCTCCTGCTGCTGCTGCCGCGCCTCCTCCGCCAGACGCTCCTGCGCAAACTCTGCCTGCAGCGCCTCCTGCAGGTAGAAAAAACAATTAATTTATTTTTAAATTTTATTTTTGCTAGGGTGGAAGATTTCCACGCGAGGGCAGCACGTGTCTATGCGGAAAGCGACATTACATGCAGTCTAATCTGTATGTGAGTCACTCCGGGGATATACAAAAAGTGTTCTTTATACACAGGTGTCTGTTCTATAAAGGTTATTTTCGCCGTACGACTGCCACTCAAGGGAAATACCTAGTGTCCTTTATAGACAGGTGTATGTTCTACAGAGGTGATTGTACCGTACGACTGACACTAAAGCCTAGTGTTCTTTATACGCAGGTAGGTGTTCTATTTAGTTGATTGTACCATATGATAGACACTACAGGGAAACACCTAGTGTCCTTTATACGCAGGTGTCCTGTTCTGCAGGGGCCACTCACCGCCGCCTTCTTATTCCGCTCCTCATGCGCCCTCTTCGCCTCCTCCTCGGCCTTCCTCTTTGCTTCCATCTCGATGCGCGATCGCTTCTCCTCCTCCTCCCTCCTCCTCCGCTGCTCCTCGTCCTCCTTCCTCCGCCTCTCCCTCTCCCGCTCCTCCTCAATTCGACGCAGCCTCTCCTGCTCCTCGGCGATCTTCTGCTGCCCGAGTCGGCACTTCAGTGCTGCCATCTGGCGGTCCTGAGCCTCGATGAGCGACGTGTATGCGCGGTCGATCTCCTCGCGCGTCATGGCCGTCGTCTGCCGGAAACAAGACGGCATCGTCTTTATTTTTATTTTATTCTATTTATTTCATTAATTTATTATTTTGATCATTTATTTTTTTTATTTATTGTTTTAACAATTAATTTTAATTTAATATTTTAACTATTTATTTTAATTTATTATTTTAACAATTAATTTTAA